AGCATCATGCTTCTATATTTGACTAGAGATATTTGTATCAGTTCGTATAATATTTATATTAGCTATCTGGTACGTACATACATATGTATACATATCAATTTATAGAATTTATTATGCTGAAATCATAAGGTTAACCAAATCGGCGAAAAATCATTCAGCCAATTTTAACAGGTATCCCAAGAATTATGATAATAGCTGTAAGTAAAGTCATTTTTCGAACATATCACATGATGCAAACTCCAAAATTTTTATATAATTTTTTGATTTTAAAAAAGTCATGTGATCATTGCACTTAAAATTGACCAATAGAATTTCTAAAATAAGTAGCTGTGACATTGTCATGCAAAACCAGGAATGGAAAGCAATTTTTAGATAGGATTGTAGATAAACCTGTTTTTATCATAAGTCTTTGTTTGTTTCTATATTTAATTTTATCAATTTTATTAGTATTTTTGATTTTTATCAGTTTTACTTGCAACTCTAATTTAGATTATATGTACAGTAAGTCAATTACTAACTATGTAAGTTGAATATTAACTATGTTATCTAGATAGATTTTATATTTGATTTAGATAAACTATTATTAGTATAGTTTTGATGTAACATTCTTGTATATATGTAGTTTTTCTTAATAAATTATTCATTTTTATTTTTATTTTACTAGTAAATATAATAAACATTTGTCAATAGGTAATTTAAATAAATTATTTATATTATATTAATTACTTCATATTTTGATTTGGTGAGTATAAAAATTATTTTTTAATAAATTATTTAAACTAATATATTTGTTTTACTAAAAAATAGATATATTGGTAGTAAATTTAAAAAAAATTAAACCTTTTTCTTAATAAATTTTTCTTTTATTAAATATTTAAATTTGAAAATTATTTAAAAAACAAAAATATAAGTATTTTGTTAAAACTATTAAAAGCTTGAAGTAACTACTATATAATTATAAAACTTATATAAAGAACTTTATATAATTTTTATTAGTCTTTATTTTTTTAAAAAAACTTATAAAAAATAAATAATTTAGATTACTTTTTTCAAATATTAATATATAAATTATCAAGTCAGTTAGTAATATTTATTATCTAAAGCAAGATTAGTATAAAAAAGAGTATATCTAAAATAGAATAATATTTAAAAATATGTACAAAAAGCTAATAACTAAACACATTTTAATAAATATTTCAAGTGATTAAAAAACTATAAAATATTACTTTAAAACTAATTAATATTTTAGTTTTTAATACTAATCTTTCTATAATCTATATTAAAGTTTATTTTTAAAATTTTTATTATAAATAGTCTAATAAATAAAATTAGTAGTAAAAAATAATATTGTTTAGTTTATAATTTTATTAATAAGATATAAACCTATAATTAAAATTATCTAATTAAATAAAGTCTAAATTTTTTTTTTATTTTCATTTTTTTCTTATTTGTATTTGTATTTTATCTCTTATATTTTTGTATTTTTTTTCATAATCTTATTTATCAAAAAATTTATTATATAATTTCTAAAGTATTTCCTAAATATAAATAAGATTTAGTCTTTAAATTAGACATGTCTCAGAAAGGCATTTCCCAAATATGAATAAGCTCTAAGTCTGATTGTATTTTGTTTTTTTTATATCTTTTTGTAAAAAAATAATATTATAAGTAATTTTTAATTTTAAGATAATAATTAGATAAATTTTTTAGTTACTGTAAATTATTATATAATAGGTATTTAGTTTATAACTATCAAACTAATATTAACAAACTACTGTAAGGTTTTTAAAAATAATTACAGAACATTAATATCAAACTTATTTTTATATAAGTCTAAGCATATTAATAAAACAATAAATAGGACAAAACTAATAAAAAATAATATATATATTTTTTATATAGATTAAAAAAACCAGATCCAAATAATAAAATAAATAAAATAAAAGTATAATATATTTATTTAATAATATAATAATATTACATTTTTATAAATAGTTAAGAAAAAAAAACCTTAATAAAAAGGAAAAATCCTAATTATCTATAACAATGTAAATATAAAATATAAATATTTATATAAAGTTAAAAAAATAAAAGATTGTTAAATATTTTAAATAATTATTCTTTATAATTTTTTGATTGTTGTTTACGAAACTTAAATTTTTTTGTAAAATTTTTTTTTACTATAGTTTGAGAATTATTTTCTTCAATATCTAATTCATTATTACTTTTATCATTATCTGATTCTTGATCTTCATATTCATTATCTAATTCTTGATCTTCATATTCATTATCTAATTCTTGATCTTCATATTCATTATTTAATTCTTGATCCTCATATTCATTATTACTATATTCTGTAATATTATTATCATCAATAATATTTTCAGTAATTTCATCATTTAATACTTGTTCATTATTTTCAATATTTTCATTTTCTAAAAATCTAGTTACTAAATTTATTGGATTGTAATTAGTATTTTCATCAGATTGAAGTTCAATATTTTGACTAGTTATAGCTACTATATTTTCATTATTAAAAGTATTTAGATGCATAATTTCTTCTATTTCAAAAGTTGTATTTTTGTTCATTTCATTCCATATATCAGAATCATCATCATTATAATCTAAAATTTCATTGTCATCATCATTGCTTTCATTATCACTATCATTTTCATTTAAAATAATTTCAAATTCTTTAATAAGTTTTTCTAAATCTTCTTGTGTTTTAGTTGGTCCAACATTAGATAAAAATTTTTTTGAATTAGAAACATAATAACAATATAATTTCATCATATTTTCAAGTTTTTCTAATTCAATATTTTGTCTATTTTTATTATAAAACCAGCCTAATGTTGAAAATATACGTTCACAACTAGCTGAATGAGGTGTTATAGCCAAAATTTTAAGTGCCAATTGTTGAAGAAAATGAATACTATTTTCATCATCATCATCATCAATATCACATGTTAACCACCAATTAATTGAATTACCACAAAGGTTATTATAAGATAAATCATATGGAGATAAATTTAATCGATAATTATGTAATTGTTCTAAAAGAACAGTACAAGATTTTTCATTTCCTCCTAAATTTTGCCAAATAATTGCTGCTGATTCTTCAATTTTACGAAATTGATTTTTTTAATGCCCTTTCCTAATATAAAATAATATTAATTAATATTATTTAAAAAAAAATCAATTAAAATTTTATTAAATTTACCTTTGTAAAATGGATGTAAAAAATAAGCTAATAAATATTCATTATATTCGAATTCCAACCATCTTTTGTTATATATATTAATACAATAATTATAAAAATTGTAATAATATTGTTGAGAAATATTTTTAATTGAAACAGCAATCTTTACTAAATAAAAATAACAATCAGCAAGACTACTTGTATCAGCTTCAAGAATACAAATTGCTTCTTTAATAGGTTTTAAAATCTCATTAAGCTTTTTAAGATCATCAAAAAATGTACGACCACAAAGAATATTTTTAATTAAATTATTTGTTGCAAATATATTTTCATTTTGTACAACAATCTAATAAAATTAAAATTTTATAAATAATATGTTATTTTTATAAAATATATTCATTAAATATAAATAATAAGTTTAATTTTTATATAATATAAAATTAATTTTTACTTACTAATTGAAAACATGGTTGAAGTCTAATAATAGAAAATATAGTTTCATACATAGATGTCCATCTTGTTTTGCAATATTTTTTTAATCCACCACCACTAATATTCATTTGTTTAATTTGATAATCAAGAACTGAATTTGGAATATGTGAATTATTAAAAAATTTAACAATTTTGTTACATTTTTTAATAAGTGATTGACAAAACTCATGTGCAAGTATGTCTTTAGAAATTAAATTGATACAATGAGCAATACATTTAAGATTTAAAATATGAGGATTTGATTGAACAATAATATTTTTTGCCAATTTAACATTTGAGCCACTATCAGTAACAATAGCAGCAAATTTTTTAGATCCAATTTCAGAAATAATTTTGTTAATCTGTTCTGCTAAAAATTGTCCAGTATGACTATTTGATGAAAAATCCAATAATTTATATAAATATTTTTTTCTATCAGGTGTAAGTAATACAAAATTCCATATTGATTTTTTATTAGGACTAGTCCATCTATCTAAAGCTTAATTAAATATATAAATTAATTAATTTATATTTGATTATTTATTTATAATATAAATAACAATGCTCCTATTAGACTAAATCAAATTAAACTTTTAAATCTGATTTAAATTTTAAACTAAATTTAAACTTTTAGTTAAATTTGAATTTAGTCCAAATTCAGTTCAAATTTACAAATTATTTTGAGTTTAAATATATATATATATTTTGTATTAAATAAGTTTATTTAATATATAAACTAAAATTAATTAGTAAAATTTTAAAAATTATAAGATTTTATATAATTTATTAATAAAATTATATAAAACTTATTGCTCTCAAAATTTTATTATTTAATTATAACTTTATATATTAAATAAATATATTTAGTATAAAAAATATTTATATTTATATTTAAATTTAAACTAGCTTGTAAACTTTAGATTAAATCTAAACCAAATTTTTAATTAAGTTTAATTTTATTTTGAAATTTAAAAATTAACAAAATTTAAAGTTTGAGTTTAGATTTAATCTTTAAACTAAACTTGAATTAAAAATATCTAAAACTGAATTTTGGAGTTTTAATAAATAGTAATACTAATATTATATATATTAAAATAGTTACCTAATGTTAAATTTTTAGAATTTTCTAATTGCTGATCAAGTTTTTGATTTATATAAGCAATTTCTTGATCTAATAAATTTCCAGATAATATTTTTCTTGATGAAGGTGAATATGCTGGACGTAATTCTTTTAAAAGCTCAATCATAAAAGGGCTATCAATAACTTTAAAAGGAATACCACACATTATAAATGTTCTAATTAAAGCTTTATTGATTTTTTCTTTTCTTTCTTCAGTTAATACTGTACTTTTATAAAAAGGTGAAAGTGATTGTTGTTGTGAAGATGAAATAAAAGAAGAATTGCCAGTTTTTTGTCATTTTTTACTACTAGTTCTTGAAGTTATTAAATTTAAATAATACTGTCTAATATCTTTAGTTGCATTAGGACAATGATTGGCAATATGAGCTTCAATTTCTCTAGGTTTACCAACACTCCAAAACTTTTTACATCTACATGTAGCTGAATAATGTCCAGATGATTTTTTTTCATCTTTTGTAACATAGGTCCATATATTTGAAGGTAGACGACCAGATAATGTATTTGCTTCAGAACTATAAACTGGTGTATCCTCAGAAGTATTAGTTTGTACATCATCTAAAAAATTTGTTTGATTATCTCTTATATTAATATTTGCATTTAAAGAAAATGGTGGAGATGATGAAATAAGTTCAGAAAAACCTTCATAATTTTCAGCCATTTAAAAATAATATTTAATCTATTATAAAATAAACAAATTAAATAAATTAAATTAAAATTTTATATAATTTAAAATAAACAAATTAAAATAACTTTATTAGATAATAAATAGTACTTAATATAAGGAAATTATTTTTTATATTTTTAAAATTTATTATTCATATCTCTTTGTAGATTTAATTTTTTAAAACTTTAATAAAGATAACTCTATAACTACCAGATTAAATTTAATAAACTTTTTTTAAATTTTATAGATTCATAGAATTCAAAAAAAAGATTCATTAAATTTGGTTCAATAGTTGTTAAAATATCTTTATTCAAAGTTTTAAAAAAATCAAAACATCTATCAAAAAAAATTATTAATTTTTTTTTAAACTTTGAATAAAGATATCTCAGTAATTATTAAACCAAATTCAATGAACTTTTTTTTGTTTGAATTCTATGAATCTATAGAATTCAAATAAAAAAAGTTCATCGAATTTGACTTAATAGTTACAGAATTATCTTTAATCAAAATTTTAAAAAAATTTAAATCCGTCTATCAAACAGAAATTGTGTTAAAATTTTTTTAAAATTTTAAGTAAAGATATCTCAGTAACCATTAAGTCAAATTTGATGAACTTTTTTTTATTTAAATTCTGTGAATTCATAGGATTCAAATAAAAAAAAGTTCATCGAAATTGACTTAGTGGTTACTGAGATATCTTTAATTAAAATTTAAAAACATTTTTTAACACAACTTTTGTTTAATAGACAGGTTTAAATTTTTTAAAACTTAGATTGAAGATAATTCTGTAACTATTAAGTCAAATTCGATGAATTTTTTTTTATTTGAATTCTATAGATTCATAGAATTCAAACAAAAAAAAGTTCATTGAATTTGATTTAATAGTTACTGAGATATCTTTATTCAAAATTAAAAAAAATTTTGTACTTTCTTTTGATAGACATTTTGAATTTTTTAAAACTTTGAATAAAGATATCTTAATAACTATTGAACCAAATTTAATAAATCTTTCTTTTTGAATTCTATGAATCTACAAAATTTAAAGAATAAAGTTATTAAATTTAATCTAGTAATTATAGAGTTATCTTTACTCAAAGTTTTAAAAAAAAATTAAATTTATAAAAAGATATAAATAATAAATTTAGAAGATATAAAAAATAATTCTTTATTATAAAATTTTAAAAATTTTTTGTAATTTACTTACATACTAATAAAAATATTTAAATAAGTAGTACGTTTAATAAATTTTAATATAGTTAGTTTAAATATAAGTTAACTATCAATATAATAGAAATCTGAGCTGATCTAAAATTTCTATTATATATTATATCTATATAATAAAATAGGCTTGACAAATATTAAATTCTAATAGATTGAGACTTACATTTGATAATTTATTGCTTTATGATAAGTTATAAAGATGAAAAAAGTTGGTGTAACTCTTAAACTTCAGAAATAAATTTAATAGAAGTGAATTTATACATATACATACATACATGCATATGTGCATATGAATAACAAATAAAATTTTTTGACGAAAATCTTTACTAGTCAAAAAGGAAATGTGGCAGATCACGAGCAAGGGCACAACCAATGACCAACACAAATAATCTGTTTCTGAAAAATGATTCACAGCATTCCGGCAAGCTAGATAAAATGTCATTATCATTATATTATTCTTAAAACATATTTATAATTAACAAAATCCAGGCTTATATGGATTTCATTTTTCCAGATTTAAATTTCTTCACACTGCTTTGAAAATAATTTTGTTAGCTGATACAATTATTTTCATAAATTCTGGGACATAAAAATTTGCTTGTTTCTGAAGCTTCTTTCGACCTCATCTTAATAAAGTTTCAGGAAATGAACAAATTTTTAGGTTGTCCAGAATTTATAAAAACAGGTATAAACCTTCAGTTGGACTTTCGAGCTTTGGTAAGACTTTCAAGTTTCAGTAAGACTTTTGACTTTCGGTAAGGGTTTCAACTTTCGGTAAGTCTTTCGACTTTCGGTAAGACTTTCGACTTTCGGTAAGGGTTTCGACTTTCGGTAAGAGTTTCGACTTTCGGTAAGAGTTTCAACTTTCGGTAAGAGTTTCGACTTTCGGTAAGAGTTTCGACTTTCAGTAAGACTTTCGACTTTCAGTAAGACTTTCGACTTTCGGTAAGACTTTCGACTTTCGGTAAGACTTTCAACTTTCGGTAAGACTTTCGACTTTCGGTAAGACTTTCGACTTTCGGTAAGACTTTCGACTTTCGGTAAGAGTTTCGACTTTCGGTAAGACTTTCGACTTTCGGTAAGACTTTCGACTTTCGGTAAGACT